AAACTTTGTCTAAGGCTTAGTCTTGCATTGCATAACTCTTCCTCAGCCATTTTGAGAGCATAGCCGACTAGAGTGAGAGAGTGAGAGGAAAAGAGTGTTTTCAACTTGAATTCATCAAATTTAGTTTGGAGATTTGAAGGAAGTGAAGAGAGATTGCATAATTGAGCCTCATTGCCTTTGATTCAAGACTTAAGGTAGAGATTGTACCTTCTTGTTCATGTAATCAAGTCATATGTTGCATGGTTTATGGAAGTTTAGAGATTAAGGGCATGAATTAACTTTAAATTGTTGAATTGGAGCTCATTCCATGCATGCATGTTTGAATTGTTGAGTTGTGAGTTGATTTCATGGTAAAATGTTATATGCATGTTCATATTGTGTTTAAGTCCATGATTTCATCTTGTTCTTGGAAGAATTGACTCATTAGAGCATGAAATTGAAGCTTTGAAATGGTTTAAATTCATGCATGATAAGTTTGAATTATATTCTTGAAAATTGATTTGAAATTGAGTTGTTTGAAACACCCTTGGGCTTTGATTTTACAATTGAGCTTTGGAATCATGTTAAACTATGAGTTTTGGGATGTTTTCTGGAAAATTGGCCCAAGAGGATCGAAATTTATGTTTAAAAAGTTGAATTTGAGCTTGAGGTTCGAATCTGGGAATTCCAGATTTTGAACTCACGCTCGAGCGGGGTGACTGGCGCTCGAGCGTGAAATTCGTGCTCCCAGTACTTTGCACTGTTTTGAAGTCCGCTCGAGCGGAATAATTGACGCTCGAGCAGGACATTGTGTCATATGCTCGAGCGGGTGTCGAGCGCCCAATCGAGCGTGATTTTCACCTATCCAACACTTTTGACTATTTTGCAAAATGCTCGAGCGAGTAAGTATACGCTCGAGCGGAAACCTTTGTCTGCATATCCGCTCGAGCGGAGTAACCTACGCTCGAACGTGACCCTTGTTTTCTGAAAATTCTGAAAATGCTTTTAAAGTGCATCTTTGCATCCTCATCCCATCATAGGCATTCATAGGCCTAGTTTAAGGCATCTTAATGATGATATAGATGTGGAACCACACCAAGACAGTGTAGGGATTATGTTATTAACTTTTCCAATTGTGAAACTTAGTGTGTGTTCAATCTGTTAACTGTTTAGGGTTGGCTTTCAGGGACGCGCTCTAGCTGCTTATAGCCCAGAACTCTGTGAGTAACAACTGTGTAACGATATGTTCAAAATGATAATCTTCTGAACAATTGAACTGTACTGTTTCTGAATTGATTACTGTTAACTGAATGAATGAATGTCCTATATTCTGAACTGTATTGTGGCATCCTTAGCAACTACTGTTTACTGTTACTGTTACAAAGATCTCTGTCAGTTCCCTCGTTGGAACGACTACTGTTTACTGATTGATGGCCATCATTTACTGTTCGGTCTTTTAAGACCTACTGTTTATTGTACTATTATGCTAATGGATGTACCACATATGACTGAATGACTGATATACTGAATTAACGAACTGTTTTCATTACTGTAAGGACATTTCATTCTTAACCTCTTTACGCATTACGTTATTCACTGGGCTTTAGCTCACTGTTTATATATATATGTAGGTGTTCAGGCACCAGACCGGAGCTAGGAGCGTGGGTTAGACTCCCCTTTTTTTCATGCCAACTACTGTGCCTCATTGCGAGGTTCCAAGCCTGCCAAGTCTTGGCTTAGGGGTGTTTTAGTTCCCCCTTCTGTCTCTATAACTGTTTTGTTTACTGTACTGTACTGTTTAATAGGGATTAAGTCCCTGTTCTGAATGACTGTATACATTGTACATACTGTTTTGTCTGACTGTATATATATTTGAATGAAAAGTCTTTTTGCATATAGACTGTCACAGCTCATTGGACATTGTTTATTTACTGTATTGGCTTCCGCCAGGCCCCTGTACTTTGTTTTACTGTATTACTGTTAAGAAGGCCTTCGGTAATCTTGGATTACTGGCCGGTTACGGTGCTAAACCCATAGGGGTAGGTCTGGGTCGTGACAGAGTGGTATCAGAGCGATACTTACCATGAGTTATACCGCACACACGTGTTGAAATGAGCTATAGGGTGTCCTAGAAAAGTAATAAGGCATTACATGAGCATGATAAATGTGTGGCTATGACATGACTGAATATACGCTAATGTGTTAATCTGTTTAAACAAATGACTGCCTATGTTGATAACTGTTATAACTGGTTATAGTGAAATGGATAATGCGAGAACTGCAAATGAATTTGAATCCTCATCCTCTGAGGCAAGAATGGCAAGACTGGAAAGAATGATGGAACTAATAACTGAAAGACTAGATCAACAACAGAATCAACAGCCCACACCTCCTCCTCTGGTACAGCCGGAGCAGAATGTGAATGTTACCGATGAGGACATAATTGCTCTCACCCATAAGTTCAGCAAAATGAAACCGTCATCCTTCCAAGGAGGCCTTGAACCGGTAAAAACTGAAGCATGGATTCTCGAGACAGAAAAATTGTTTGAGGTTTTTCCGTGCTCCGAAGCACATAAAGTGCTATTGGCCACCTCTACTCTGCAAGAAGAAGATAGAAGGTGGTGGATGCTCATCCGTGATAACAATATTGTTATGACTTTGGCTCAATTCAAAGGAGTGTTATATTAAGCAATTTTTTGTGTTATATTGAAGTGTTAAACTAAGGCCTCATTTGGCAAGCAACAGTTTTAGCCTAAAAGCCAAAAGTTATTAAAAAATCAAAAAATCTATAATTTATATTAAAAAGTCAAAATTTTCATTTTCTCTGTACTTTTTGCACATCTTTTTGTAAAAAATCAAAAAGTCATTCCAAACATACTAGTTTTTTTACCTCATATTTTAATCAAAAAATTATTAAAATAACATGTTCCTAAACGAGGCCTAAGCCTTCGTTTGGCATAAGCTAAAATGAGTCTTTTTGGCTAAAATAGTCACAAAATAATCAAATAGGCTTTTTAGCCTATTAAGACAGTCACATCCAAATCATAATCATTTCATTTTTTTTCTCACAAAAGTTAAAAAAACCAAAAAGTCTATCCCTAATGAGACTTTTTAGCCCAGGCTAAAAAGGCCAAAAAGTCAATCCATATCCCAAACGACCCTTAGAAGTTTTTTTGGAGTATTGTAGTAGAGTGTTACGTTTGGAAAAAGTACACTAAAGATTTTGTTTTTTGTTTTTTTTGAAATGTTGCATTAGAATGTTACGTTTGAGTGTTATATTAGAGTGTTACAGTTTGAAATTATATATTTGTCCAAAACTTACTAATGAATTTTTATATTCCTTTTGAAATGTTTGAAAAATCTCACATCCTTTTAAAATGTTTGAAGAATCTAATATTTCAAATCATTTTTGTACTCCTTTTGAAATGTTTTCCAAATAAAAGAGATTCTTATATAAAAATTCGTCTCAAATTTGATTCACGTAGATTGTAACCTTGCCTTTCTAGTACAAAAGAAAAAAAGAAAATGAAATATAATAGAAATAAGGATATAATTGTAAATTCAATTTCTAAATAATATATTAAATCTACATTTTCAAAATTAATGGGACTAATTGGTCTATAAGAAAATTCTTGTGATTAAATAGATCACCATTTCTCAAAATGAGATTTATAAATAAATTTTTCCAAAGTTAATAGCATTAAATATAAATTGTAAAAATTTAAGAGAAATGTTTTAAATATATAAATGGAGAGAACCAATTTGTGAAACAAGTTTTATTATATTTTACACATTCAAATATTTGAAAAAAAATGAATTAAAAACTTTGGAATATAAATATTTAACAATATATTGCAATTTATAATAGAATAAATATATTCATTTTATTTGATTAACAGTTATGGGTACTTATTAAGTGGTTTTTATATTAGGGTTGTATAAAAAAGCATGGAACCAAATCGCCTATTTCAGGTTGACCTAAAATTTTAGTTAGTTTTTCATAATGTAATGTCTATTTTAGTTTTGAAAAATTTTATACCAATAACAATTAAAACTGATTGAAATAATATAATTAAATACTTTTATATTCTGATTATTTGAACATATATTTTATATTAAAGTTTAGGGAATGAGGTATTTATAAAGTAATCTTGGCTAGCACACTTTATTTATTCTCAATGTGAAATTTTACAATTTTTTTTTGAAAAAATCTTAAAATCTCCCATTGACTCCTCCTTTACATCAAAAAAGTGATAAAATCTTTTGTTGGTTTTGTTTCAACCAGCAAGATCGTTCTAAAGTTATCTTCAAACTCAACTAAATTAGACTATCAAACCACTTACCTCATACTTTACACTATTTTTATTTTTTTTTACTAAAATTATGTATTTTCTTAAGTCAAACTTCCATCACAATATTGAAGTCACCAATCACACAATTTTATTTATTTATTTTTTTTTCATCCTTACTACTAGTCTATAAAACCATACATGAGATTTTAACTTTAAATAACTCCATTTTTTCTTTACATTTTATTATAAAATAATAACATACTATAAATGTCATTGGGCGGCCAACTACACTATGTTAAAAAAACAAAAATTAAAAAAAAAAAAAACATACACCCATACCCATAGTATTATTTTTCATAAATTATATTCCCCATTTGCAAATAATAAGATAAAAAAAATAAATAGGGGTAGTAACGAATTACCCAATTCTATATCTATATTATTAATCAAAAATGCTTTAGAGCTCTAATATAGGAGCTCTAATGGGAATGTGGGACCTACTCTGATGTGATGTTTGTGCCTTGCCTTGTTTTTTTTTTTTTTTTTTTTTTTACTTGGACACATCACTAGAGCTCAAATTAAAGCTCTCTAGCATTTCCCATTATTAATATAATTGAAAAAATAGAGATCATCGTTATAACCGTTGGTTGGATAGACGCATCCGAAGCGGGGCATAAACGTCAATTCATCGGCTTTCTATGCGTAGTAGTAGTTGCTCTATCAAACCCGCAGACAGAGACACAAAAGAGAAGAAAGAAGAAGAAGAAGAAGAGGAGAGAGAGAGAGAGAGAGAGAGAACCCTTCATCTCCCACCTCCAAACCTTCCCTTTTCTGCCAACTCTCGTGTTGTCTTTCATCCACTTCCATTCATTTGTTTTCTCTTCCAAATATTGTTTTTCATTTGAATTAAGTTTTTTTTTTTTCAATCTTTGTTGTCTTCAATCTGTACTTAGAGAGAGGAAGAGAGATTGTTGCAGAACTTAACTACGTGAATGATATCTGGGTTTTACCCAAATTTCATGAAAACTCAGGTAAGAGACCTCTTTTCGGAATTTGATCTGTATGTTGTTGAACTAGTCCGTTGAACTTATCTTCAAAATAGTTTGTTTTTATTTGAAAACTTTGTTAGAAAAGCTTTGACTTTGTTCTTGCCTATTGTTGCTTGACCACCTCGTCCTATTACTGGGCATCATGCTTTTACAAGATCTGGGTATATATATATATGTTTGATTTTGTGTTTGTTGTGTTATGGGTTTGGATTGTGATTTGTGTTTATTTATTTCCATTTCCCTCTGTTTGGAATTCAATGCCACTGATTGTAGATTTTTCTCCTTTTTTTCCCTAAAAAAGTTTGAACCTTTTTGTGTTTGATTGAGATTTGATTTGATTTGATATTTTTTTTCTTTTTTTGGGATGTAGGATTTTATTTTAGAAGTCAGAAAATGATGGCTGAACACAGTGTAGCAGCAGAAGAAGATCAGTTTTTTGATACTTGTGATGAGATCACTTCTGTTTCTGATTTGGGTTCAGATTGGTCTGGCCATTGTTGTTCTTGTTCCGAGCTTCCCAATTGTGTTGTGAATAGTTTAGGGTATGAGTTTTGGACGAAGACTCCTGAAAGTGCTGATCAGCGTCGCAATAGGTTTTTCAAATGGATGGGTTTAAGTTTAGATCAAAATCAGATTGAAAAAGAGGAATCAAGGGATTTATTGTGTGATGAAATCAAAATGGGGATTGAGAGAATTAACGAGGACAGTGGGGCAGTGCTGAGAAATTCACATTTGGAAGATTGTTTTGTGTCTACTTCTTCCTGTGTCTCTTCTTGTTCAACAGAATTGTTAGGAGACGATGCTTCTGAGGAGAATTTTGTGTATAAAATTAAGAATTTGGATGATGGGACAGAGTTTGTTGTTGATGGAGTTGGAAACAATGGAATGCTCAGCAGATTACGTGAAGTGGGTTCGAATAGGTTGGTTACTATTGAAGAGTTTCAGAGAACTTTTGGTTCATCTGCTTTGGTTCAGCGGTTGTTGCGCAGGGAAGCTGAGGCAGGTAACTTGGTGGATGTGAAGAACAAATGGAAGATTGGTTGGCTTAGGAAATTTAGTAAAACACATACTGTAGCTAGTGGTTTCAACTCAGGAATGGGGGCTAGGTTTCAAAGAGTTCGAGTCCATTCATATAATAAGAGATCGAAGGGATTGTCATCTCTCTATGCTGGGCAAGAATTTCGTGCACATGAGGGCTCAGTCTCGACGATGAAGTTCAGTCCTGATGGTCAATACTTGGCGAGTGCTGGTGAAGATGGCATTGTGCGTGTGTGGAAGGTGATTGAGGATGAGAAACCAAAGAAATTAGCCGCTCTTGATGTGAATAAAGACAAAATGGGTAAGATAAAAAGGTTGAGAAAATCACCAGTATCGGCTTGTGTTATTTTCCCATCGAAGGTCTTTGGGATTATGGAGGAACCTCTCCATGAGTTCCATGGACACAGTGGTGAGGTCTTGGCTCTTTCGTGGTCCAATAACGGGGTTAGTATCTTTTAAAAATAGCAAAATGCTTTTGATTTCTTGGTTATGGAGTTGATAAGTCATTTTGTTTATTAACTATTGTGCTTTACTTCTACAAGTAATATATGTTCACAATAACTTTGTACTGTCTGCAGTGTCTGTTGTCATCCTCGGTTGATAAAACAGTTCGCCTATGGCAAGTAGGACACAACCAATGCCTCAGAGTTTTCTCTCATAATAACTATGGTGAGTATTTTACCATGAATATACATCGTTTGTTAATATTGATTTCTTATCTTTCACAATTTCAATCTTTTTTTATTTCATATAAATTATGATATACAAATTTGTTGACTCTCTAACTATTGATGCAGTGACCTGTGTAGAATTCAATCCTGTGGATGACAATTGTTTCATCAGTGGTTCAATAGATGGGAAAGTGCGCATTTGGGAAGTGCATGGTTGTCGAGTTGTTGATTGGATTGACATAAGAGAAATAGTAACTGCTGTATGCTATTATCCTAGTGGGAAGGTCTGATGAATTTCTGGTCTTCAATTTCTTGTAGTAAAATGTAGCTAATTAACTGGGAAATTTTTGTATGGATTTGGTTAGTAAAGATGAGACCTACTTAATAATTGCAGGGAGGAATTGTGGGCTCAATGGATGGAAGCTGCCGGTTTTATGATATCATAGGTATGCACATATTTTTCACCAGAAGAAACCTTCCTTATAGTATATTGCTCCTATAGCAGAATGTAAGGCTTCACTTTGAGATGCTGATAATTCATGATGCTGCTAAATCAGAGAAAACATATTAATATAGCATTTTTTTTCCCACCTTGATCTCTTTATATTTACTTGTTAATTAATTCAGCTTGAGATTAATATTATTTGATCATGTGTTGCATGGGTCAGATAATCAGTTGCAACTGGATGCTCAAATATGTTTACAAGGGAAAAAGAAGCTACCCTGCAAGAGGATAATTTCCTTTCAGGTTACTTGTCCTTGCCTTCTCTCTCCTAGTTTTTTTCTTCTGAAAAGATCGAAAGAAAGTACATGACTTCTTTTCTCCTACTTACTTTTGATGGTTGTCTTTTATATACTTACATGTTATGCTATCTGTTTGCTCGACAGTTTTCCCCAAGTGATCCGAGCAAAGTTCTTGTCACTTCTGCCGATTCCCAAGTTCGAGTACTTTGTGGGGTTAATGTCATCTTCAAATTCAAGGGTGAGATCATTGAGCTTTGTTCAATTGTTTTTTATTTTTTGCTAGAGATTTACTCCAGACCAAAAAAAATACACACAAAATGCCAAGGGAATACCCTTTACAAACTAAACAACCAACAATGAAAATGAGAATAAATATATAAATAGAAATAAACTTGCCATGAAGCTAGGGGTGGTTTCAGTATGACTATGCCTATAATACTAGGACCATTTCCGCTAAACTGAAATACCCAACCTATCACTTACTGGCCTAACCAGATAGGAACTTTCACTTCCTTTGTTGCAGCCAACTAACTTTCATTTTCCTTGCTAAATTCAGAAAAGTTCTTGCTTTGTCATAACAATTGTTTCCAGATTTTGTGTTATTCCTTTCAATTCATTACGTGATAAGTGAGAACCACAAAAAACTCCACAATAATTGTTCTCAACAGGGGGGTGCAGGGAGCATGGGCCCAAGAGGGGCACTTGTCCCTCAACTTCATAAAATTTTAGAATATGTAATAAAATAGTTGCTCGATTTTTTCCCCTCTAAATTTTAATTTATACTTACTTTGTTTCTTTATTTTAAAGTTGTTCATATAATTTGCACCCTTTAAATGTCTATATTACAACAAAATCTCCTTTATTATGTTGTAAAATTTACCTTAAAATGTTTTTTTATTTTTTTATTTTTTGGGTCACGATTGCAAATTTATTCTTGTTAATAATTTTCTTTTTCTTGTGTGATAAATGATAAATATCTATACAAGTATTTACAGTGTTTACTTCTTGATTAATCAAATCTCATAGGAAAATATTTGCTTTCCTCTCTATCTCTTCTCTGAAATTGTACGAGGTGAGGGGTGGAGATGACCATCACGGTCATGATTAGGGTTGGGGGTTAAGTGCGTTAGGGTCGAGGCACAACAAGGGTTGGGGACACTATTTTAAGCATAACACTTTGCCTTATTCTTTCCCTTTCTATGCCAAAATTCTAGCTCCACCACTGGTTCTCAAATATTCTCTTGTTTGTTTCATGGGCAGCAATTATTTCTTGGTTATGAAAAAATGAAAGACACTTTTTGGCTCTATGTGCTACCATTATATGATCTTCAGTGTGACATGTGATGTTTCTTTTCTTTACTTTAGAACTCAAATGCAAATTTTTCTTCCCTATTTTCAGGCCCTCGAGTTTCAGGAAATCGAGTGACTGCATCTTTTACTGCGGATGGAAAACACATTGTCTCAGCAAACGAGAATTCTAATGTGTATATATGGGACTATATTAGCCAGGACAGGACTTCTTCGAAAGCAAAGACCATTCGGTCATGTGAGAATTTCGTTTCTCACAAAACATCAATTGCTATACCTTGGTGTGGCACGAAAACCATGTCTGGATCACTTTCAAGCCCATCTATGGGAAATCATCTCGCAGACTCTTCTAATGACTGTTTTTCTTTGAGCCGTGGGCTTCTTCTAGAGTCTTTGCCAAAGGGATCCGCGACTTGGCCAGAAGAGAAACTACCCAATTCAAGTCCAATGTGTAAATCAAAATACAATTTTTTGAAGAGTGCTTACCAGAACACATACAGTTCTTGTATGTGGGGACTTGTGATTGTAACTGCGGGCTCTGATGGGTGGATTAGAACATACCACAATTATGGGTTGCCCATTCGCCTATGAAATTGATGATCCAAAGGTTTCATCAGACAGGTTATTCCATTTTTGGGCATTTTAGGTGTAGCAGCAACTGGCATTGCTGGTAAAAAAAGGTTAGTTCAGTAGATATCTCAGCATGTGAAGTGTATTGTAGATGGTGTACATAGATTTTTGGAAAAAAAAAAAAAGGTGTCCTATAATCAAATTAGGCTGTGCCAACAAATGGGCTTGAAATTCATTTTGTAATGGATATCAATATTCAGATTATTATTGAAGCATTCTTTTGATTTGTTCATTTGACTTGTTTGTGTCTGGTTTATTCCAAATACATACAAGTCAATGTGCTAACAATGGGGTATTTTGGGTTGTGTATAATGATGGTTTGTTTACTTTATCTGTTATAATCTTAGCTAGAATTGAAGGTGTTCCAATTTGTGCTAGTCAAACCGACAGAAGCGCAGTTTTATATAAGACCTTGAGAGTGCCTCAACGAGACCCAAAGAGCATGGTAAGATCAGACTAGAGATCATTGGGACAAGGCCGCTAAGGGCATACCTGGCTGAGCCAGAAGAGTCGGTTCAAGGCAGACGACTTCACACTAACCAGAATCGTTATATATCACTAGAAATATCAACCACATACCATACGGATTTGGGGTCACTGCTGTGGTAAATACACAGAAGTGACTGTTGTGGTTCATTTTGTGGTGCATTATGGGATTATTTTTATGATCTGAACCGTTCATTTTGTAAGGTTTGTTGAGTACTTCAAGCCTACCAAAAATCATATTAATCGAATACCAATAACTATATGATTGATAACCAAAAAAACAAACAAGAAGTTTTTCTTTTAAAAAATAGTATAAAAATATGCAATTCGATCATATAGTTGTTGAACGGTTCAGATCATAAAAATAAGCCCACAATGCATCACAAAATGAACCACAACAGTCACTACTGTATTTACCACAGCAGTGACTCATAATCCCATACGTGTCCAATTGTCAAGTGTCCAGTACGGTTATTTTTTATTTATTTTTAAAAAATCCATGAAAATATGTGCTGAAGTATGGTTTGTGTAGTGATACCTCACAAATGAAGAGCTCGTATCGGGCTCAAGAATTGGAGTCGATCGAGAAATTGAGTCTACTAATTTCCACACTCAGTTATCCAAGCAACAATTATCAACAATTATTCTGATCAAAAAAAATTATCAATAATTATTTTCATTTTGAAATTAATGTTAGATTTGTCATAAATACATTTTCAAAAAAAAAAAACTAAATTAATAAATTTCATTTCTTCAATAACAGCATTAACCTCAAATAAAGTTTTACCAAGTCAGACTGTAAAATCCATTGTAGTTTTCAGGGAAAAGGGGATACTGCAGCAGTAACTGATGTGCTCTTTGTGGGGGATTATCTTGAGTGTTTTTCAATAATCTAAACCGTTCATATTGTACGGTTGGTCGAGAATATTATTCATGTAAAAAATCAAATTAATCGGATATTCATAACCCCATGATTAGATCCTAATTGTTTTTAAAAATTTATGAAAGTTAACTGTTAACTTTTATAAAAACAAATGTGCCTTGGTTATAGGATTACAGATTTCCAATCAACTTGATTTTTTGTAAGGATGATCTACTCAACGAACCCTACAATAAAAATGGTTGAGATCATCGAAAAACACTCCAAACGACCTCCCACAAAGAGCATAACAATTACTGTTATGCCTACGGCACAGCAGTATTCCCGTTTCTAGTTTTTCAGGGGAGATCAGTGTAATTTATCTCCCATAAAAAATAAATAAATAAATGAGTGTTGCTATCAACACCTCATCAATTATTTTATATCCCCCATTTTTTTAACTTTTTTTTTATTACAATAATAACTTCAAATGAAATTACTAAAAATGATATCAATAATTTTGGGACACCACATCTCACAAATAAGCTCACACCCATTACATCATGAGTTAGGATTTATGAGAGCACTTACCTCCATCTTCCTAAAATCTCACCTTTAAAACTTGCCAATCTTCAAAATCTTAAAAACCCTTTGGCATTGATTACCTACACTTCTCCGGCAATGACAATGAGTGAAATTTTTTCGGCAACCACAACTCTAAGAGATGAGAGGAATACAACAATAAAAACTCAATGGTTTATAATTTTGATGGTATTCTTAACTCAAAATAAACTGGCCTTATAAGAGTAAGTTTCTCGAAAAAAATAACAAAAATAATAAAAACTGCTCGTCATTTTTTCAGGATTGAATTCCTAAACATATAACCGAAATTCGAAAACACAGGCCCGAACATTGTTTAATTATTCAAAAATAGATAACCGAACATTTATTTTCTCAGGTTATAAATAAATATGTAAAGATGAAATAATAATTATCTTTGTAAATTTTGTTAGTATTTTTGGAAGAAAGGGTTTTTAAAATATGAGAGTGAACATTCAATTGCATAAGTGAAATATTTTTACAATGATAATTTTGATATTATTATTTGAGGGGAAAATTTTTTTTATAAAGATTTTAGAATTTATAAGCAGGGTCTAAAAAAATAAGAGATCCAAAATAATTGATGGAGTGCTAATAACCGCCCTCTAAATAAATAATAATTCAACCCATCCATCGACCCAACTTCACTAAACAAATTGACGGTGCTAGAGTTAGGTAACACCTTTGCAACAACAATTAACCCATTCCTATTCAGGCAAAGGGGGGTGAGGGAGTGACCCCCAAAAGGGAGTCCCAAGCATTATTCTTTTTTTTTAAGAATTTTAGAATTTATAAGTAGAGTCTAAAAAAATAAGAGATCCAAAATAATTGATGGAGTGCTAATAACCGCCCTCTAAATAAATAATAATTCAACCCATCCATCGACCCAACTTCACTAAACAAATTGACGGTGCTAGAGTTAGGTAACACCTTTGCAACAACAATTAACCCATTCCTATTTATAAATTCAAAATACAAACAAAAATTGGGGAGAGCGAGAAAGTTTGATGATTTAAAAAAAAGGATTCACATTTACAATTGTAAAATTAAAAAACAAAAAACAAAAACATACAATATAATGATAACAATTAGCCTTGTAATGTTCTGCTTGTCATACTCTAGGAGACAATGTTGGAGAATTTTTGGTGCCGAACTTTGATGCAGGAACTAGTTTTGATTTCAGTCTGTATGAAAATGATAACAATTACAGTATCAAAAGGGCCACAAATCCCCCCAAAGAGATCTTCGGGCTTGATGATGCAATGTAGGATTCTTACTTTGAGTAATAACAATGCGCTCAAACGAGCCCTCGGAGCCATCACGACTGGTTGCTCGACAGACATCCATTTCAACCCGCCTGCCCCTCCTAACAGGAGTGTAAATGATTCTGCCCCAACCACTGCCAAGATCAGCACTAGCTGTTTCTTGTTCCTCTTCCTCTTCCTCTTCATCATTCTCAGAGATCGCATCTGTTTCTATAATATCAGAATCATAAGAAATTGGATCGTCTTCATATGGAACGTCCTCACCTTCTGACTTGAATTGGTCCTCTATCAAGATCATTAAGGAAAATAAATAAATTTCTCGAAATACAGAATTTCCAAAAAGAATTGAAGTCTTTTGCACATCAGCAAGCTTGTTAGCAGATGCATGCTAACAGTTACCATGAATATGACTGCCCAATCATAAAGTTCTTGACTGTGCCCAATCATAAAGTTCTTAGTCAGAAATTAAAGTATTGGTATGCATGGAGCTCATACCGTAGTCAATTTCAAGATCCTCTGGATTTCTTTTAGCATGCTGCTCCTTCAAAGTTTCGAACTTCATACCATCAAGCGGCCATAGTTCTCTGTTTGAAATGAAAAATAATCACAACACAAGAATATTCATATAACATTACATCAAAGCTCAAAGACGTGAAATAAATGTTGAAGGTTCCCTATCCATCAACTTTTCCTTCTTATAATTGACTGGCCATATACGTGGAAGTTAACATGCTTTAGCTGAGTTAGACCCAATTGACATGCATTCAACACACTTATTTAGTACAGCATAGTACAAAAGGGACTACATGAAAAAATGCCTCTTAAAATAACTTTGAGCTAATATGAATATGCAGGCAAAAATTGTGCAAGGATGACTTCAAATTTGTGCTTTTCTTTGAATTATTAAATGCAGAACCCTCAACAGTTGATTTTAACAAGGTGTTTTGTGGGGGAAAAAATATAAATATACATACGTTTCAACAGATCAAACAGAATACTTGCCTTGGCCGTTGACCTCGCCTAAAAGCAACAAAACAAAATTTCTCATCTTCAAAACCACGTAAAGGCTCCCCTTTCGATCGCTACAAAACAATCATGGATAAGAGCAGATGTCAGGAACAGTAATATCCCTAGTCAAAAACAGCCAGAGAGGTAGTAATAATAGTAGCTATGAACAGAAGTATATAAGCAAATAAACCAAAACAAAGGTCGACCAAATTGAGTTCATGCTTGGTAGAAAGGTCTCCAAAACTTCTCTCTAACTAAAACAAATGTGCTTCAAAAATTATAAAAGAAACTTATTAACAGAACGTAATGGAGTAATACTTCTAAATTACAAACATAAAGAGAGCCCTTAAGTATAATTGCAAACTATTACATTAGAGATGCAGCAAACAATCAAATATTGGATGACTATTCATATGCAATTACACGTATCATGCAATTACATTACTAGACAAATCTAACACCTCCAAACACGGATGTTTTAATGTGTTAGTACTTGTTTTAGGCAAAATATACCTTAGGGCTTGGGCATAATCATTGTCAAACGATACCCAAATGCTGAGGTGGAAAACAAAGAGTAACATATTTCTAGTTTGGTACAAGAGGTTCCTTACTTTCTTAGAATGTTCCCCTCACAACATATTGTAACAAAAGAAAGAGTGGACACCTTGATGACTCAAATGTGTCATGTGTTAAGGTTTCAGAAATAATCAGATACAGCGTGCGGACATTAATTAAGAAGCCAACCTGTGTCCATGTAATATAAACTCACAGGGAAAAATGGAATGATTATTAATATATATGTAATCTCAAAAGGAAAAAAGAAAAGAAAGAGGAACAGAGTTTGACAAGAGGCACGTGGTTTAAAGAGAAACCTTGTATGCACGCTGTGATGTTGTCCTCTCCAAACGCTGAACAAAATGACAATATTTTCCAGTATTATCCAAAGGACAACGTCCATCATGAGCACACTGCGACAAGAAGATTTTTATTTTTATATAAGTAAGACAGGAAAATAAATAATAACTTGAATGGAAGAATAAAAATAAAATCAAGAAATTGTCGAACTCACTGGAGCAACAACAAAGGCCCCAGTCTTAAGATCCACCAAATCCTTAGAAGTTTCGTCAAATGCATTTTCTAATTTGCGGCGTTTCTAAAAGTCACAAAAAGAAAATTATTCATTCACTAAGGCAGAAAAGGCAAATAATTGTGAAAATGGAGAACGACTCTGCATATTTCATTTAGCATCGAAGCTCAAAATTGTACCAAAAGTAATCTTACCCTTTTTTCCATCCATAAGATATGAGACCGCATTTGAGATACGATGTTAGATCCATGCGGTGTTCCAGGTTCCACCAAAACCTGCCCGATAGTTGGAATTTTCAGAAAATTCAAAAAGTAAACTTCGCTAAGAAAAGGAAATTCCTACATGCAGGTGATACACATTGATTAGCATGATATATCTTGGGCAAGGCAAGTCATTCAGACATTCCTCAATGTATACTATCCATGTTGGAGAAAACTTTATAATGAGAGAACTGACAATTCATACTTCACATGTTTTCACTTTTTTCAGACTCCACTCTTTTGAAATGATTAAATTGCTAGAAACCAAATGCTGAGAAAGCCTCACCAGTGAACCATACCCTTGATGGATTAAAAAAATAAATATAATTGGAATAAATTAACTCTTCCAAGGAGAAGGAAAGGACAAATTGACAGGAATTTTAAACCATGAAACAGGTGAACTTCTATGTTTTTTTATTGGAATGATATTAATCAACAATGCAACCAAATCACATATACCTTCAGCACATAAGCTTGCACATAATGAGACATGAAACTTATCCGTGGACTTGAAAATTTACCAGAACATCTTGTGTAAGATCCCAAAGCTGGCGCACAATGGTGATTCTGTCCTGCAGTGATGCTATCTCTCCAAGCACATAGGACTTCATCCAGTAGCAACAAATGTTGAGCATTAATTAGCACAAACCAAGGTCACATAAACTAGTTCTCAAGAGTAGTAGGCGGAGATAACAGTATCAAATAAAAGCCTGTCACCATCAGTTTTATTCTAGAAAACATTAGTAAAAAAACCTCTAGGTCTCTATGAAGCATGGATACGGATACAGGATATAGCCACGATACGGAAAATATATATATATATTTAAATAATAGGATACCTGTATGACAAGGATGTGTTTGTAAAAATATATATATTTTAATAATCTTTAGTATTGTATTATAATAAGCTCAAAGAATGGTGAGAAACAATTCATTAGGAATTAAGTGTTAGTTTATAAGCCAATGGCTAACCACTTTACATTTTCTTAGTAGGTCTTATGAAAATATCATTTCATTGTTATGTTGAAATTGTTATTATTGCCCTTGTAATTTTCTCTTTCATACTTAAATGTGTTATATATACATATACTAGTTTAAAAAGGGCCGTGCAAGGCACGGACTATTATGACAGTTTGTTTAAGTTTTTTATTTTGATAATTTTTTTAAAATTAGAATATCGTTCTATGAAATTGAATAGAATAAATCATTATATATATGATAGAATTATATGGTATGATATGTATCATTTATTGATTTGTTATGTAGCTAATGATGTAGACTCCAATTCTATTACCATATAATTTTGGATGAATTTATGAGTCTTTAACATTTCTTCCAAATTCATAAAAAAAAAATTATGGTGTGTAACTTTTCTCAAGAAATAAATATAAAACAAATACTAAGATAATTCTTCCATCTAAAAAAAACTACGAAGATAATTCACTGAACTAATAAAGAAGCAGAAGAAAATAATATATATACAAATAACTAATTTTATTAAGGCATAAATCATACTCGCATAACAAATGACTAATTTTATTAATAAGTAAATCATTAAGTAAATTAACAAAATTGTTAATAAATAAATCATTAAGTCAATTAACAGTTTTTAATGATATAAAAAAAAATTTCAATAAACAATTTTGATAATTTATTATTACATCAAAGAACAGTTTTTTTTCTCCCAGAATATTGTGTTAAAATTTATAACAAACGATGGTTGTAATTTCTAGTCGATTCATATTTTAAACAAACCTTATGGGTGTATTTGTAATTTGTTGAAAAATAAAAAATTTATGTTTCACAATTGTTCAAGAATGTTTGCGTAATAACAAAAAAACCTGTATCATAATTGACCAAAAATATTTACGTAATTACGAAAAAACCTATTGCCTAATTGACCAAGAATGTCTATGTAATTAGGAAAAAACCTTCACTCAACATATAGGCCGCCATTAATAAATTATTCAAAATGAAAGGGCAAAATCGAAAAGAAAAGACGAACCTCAAGCAGTTAAGTGGTTCTTACATATATATAGATATTGCATGTTGTATAATATTCTTAGATTAAATGTTATAAATTATGTAGAAATATGCTACAAATTAAATAGGATTCAAAACAAATATGAAATTTTGATATCTAATTTCATGTGAGAAGCTAAAAATATTGTTTTACTAATGTGAGTTTCTTATTCTTCATATATTGTCACAAATTAAAAGAATTGAGTGTCTAAATTGGATACGAGTGTCAGACACATATCTCACCCCTTTACCTATATCATATCTGGTGGACACAGGTACTCTGGAAGAAATAGAAGTGTCTATGTAACACAACCAAGGAGTATCAATATCCGATACAAACATGACTCCCTTCTAGAAGTATCCATGCTTCATAAGACTGAACCAAAGATAGTAATGAAAGAGAAAATAAAACTTACAGCAATGACGAGGTCATGCTCTCTGTCAGATTTATTGATATTCTTAGTTAGTGACTGAATGCTATTATAGCTATGAATAAGTGGCAAATTCTTCAGATCTACAATAACCATTAATAAAAATATTAGAAGTTTTCTTGACACAAACCTCTCTCTTCCTTGTTGACAACCAAAAACAAATGTAGAGGAGTTGCAACAAAGTATAAACAATTACATGAAGATTGAAAAACCAACATCTCAAGAAAACTGGAAGAAACTCAAATAAAAGTTGGAGCACAAAACACTGAGACATGCTGTTTGCTATTGTATTACAACCTAATCAATCTACTCACATAACCACATGCATTACTTACCTATTAGTAACACTATATTTTTTGTTAACTTCAATAATATGACAAATAATTATTCAAATTGTCTGACCCAAAATAAGAAAACCAATGCCTAACAGTCAAGCTATGTTGTCTCAAATCTTCTAAATGAATGCATTATTTCTGCTAAAGTTTCAAATTCCGACCCACGAAATTGAATCTACTACGTCTGTACTCCATCCTAGTGTTTTCCCTTTCTAAATGGAAAAAAATTGATGTACTTCTGTAAACGTCCTGGTGGCACGGGTTTGACTCATGAAACTAGTCTCTCTAGAAATGGGGGTAAAAGTATACGTATATATCGCCCTCCCCACAACCCTTTAGCAAAAGCCTTGTGCACTGGATCACCCTTTATATATATATAGTTTAGTTCAATGTGTAACTAGGGTACAACTTTCAGGCCCTCAAGCAAAGTTTACAGCCGCATGTTTATATGCCTCACATTTTTGTTGCATGTTTTAATAAATAAGAAGCATAACAAAAACATATAGAGCATACAAATTGATACTTGTTAAAAGACAGTAATAACAAAGCCACCCAAGTAGAATCCAAAGAGACCATTATAACGGACCAAACAATTACTTTCTATGACTAACAAAAAGCATTAAAATCTCTCCTTTTGCATCCTAACTTACTCTTTATAAGGCTCTGACCAGCTCGTTGCATCGACTGGGATGGCTCTACTAAATTAATTCTTTCCAGAGATCTTGGCCAGACTTCTCGCACTGCCCTTTAGAACCAAGTGCCAATTAAGTAATTTACCACAATTAGCAAAATACAATCACAACTTAAAACCCATATCAATCTTCACTACCCAAGTAACCAACCGTATAGAAAGAATCAAATTAGCTTATTCTCACCACATAGCCGAACCAGTACCAGCACCAAAATCCAATACCCTTGTTGGCGAAAACCCAGGTAGCCTCCTACGAACCTATAATTAAATTTCACATCTGATAAATTCAAATTCAATCAGCCTAAAACCATGAACACATACAAATAAAGGGCTATTTTTTCTTTTACCTCACTGAGAACTCTATGGCAAGCAGAGTAGACGGCGGGCATTCGAGAAGCGACATAAGCGACGGTCTGGTCGTCTCTATATTTGAGACCAATGTCGCCATAAGAGCTCTTGATTTTCCACCGCTTCGAGCTTTCCATAGACTTGAGAGGATCTTCAACGAGCTCTTTGGAAGTGGAAGCTGTGAGCTGAAGATTCACATCCTTTATATCGTTAAAAGACTGTGACAAGCTCAACACTTTCCTCCTCATGTGAGTCTCCTCTTGCTCTGTAAACAACAATACCATTCAAAATTCGCAATAAAATCACAAACCAAACATTGAGAAAACAGAAATCAAAAAAATCGAAGAGACACACCTCGGAGGTATCGTTTGATGGCTCGACGGAGACGGACGGGGACGATGTGGCATCGTTGGGATTGTTTGGCGGCGGAACGGAGGGTTTCAGAGGTGAACTTTGGGAGGTTTTCGGGAATTAGAGACGCCATTTTCGATTCGATCTACTGAGCTCGATTGTTCGCGCTCTGTTTTTGGGGGGTTTTGGGGTTTAGGGTTTTGGGGACGGACTGGATCCTCTGCTGCGCATTAACTTACGATGATCATCTTCCTGTGCGCAAGCAGAGCACTCACAGAGGTACCGTTTGGTGTAACTGTTAAAGTACATTATAGATTATAACTTAGCAGATTATATATTATGATTTTAATTAAAAATTGTTAATTTGTTTAGTATAGTTGTTAGATTATAGATTTAAGATGTTGAGTAGTGTTTGTTAAATAAACTGTGAGTAGCTTTTCACTTAACTTTTATTTTTTATTATTCACTATTTATCTACATTTCTCATAAAAACTAATAATAATATTTTATAGTCCATTTGTGTCTTTTTCTATTTTTAAAAAAATAAAAAATAAAAAATCTAAGAATATAACCGTGAATTAACATGTCCACAGCACAAACTGATAATCAGAAGTAAGGGGTGAGCAGCTTCTCATAATCAGTTTTTTTGACTTAAAATAAGTTGTTAAAATTAGAAGCTGTTTGAAATAAATTTAACTAAACAGTTTAAAATAACTTTTTAAAAGGCAGAAGCCATAAGTTAACTCAAAAAAAAGAGATTAGGAATGAGAATGGAAGCTAACAAGACGGATATTAAATTCTCTATTTTCATTTTCTTCTAATAATTTTTTTTGCATTTCTCATTTTCCATCGGTACTACCATTTCCATTCCTTAGCAGATTTAGATTTTCTCCAACGCAACCCAATTTGACTCTTTTTTCTCTTTTTTTTTTTTTTTTTTTGTTATAAGATTCACAATTAAAGCTAAATATGCATTTAATTTTATTTTATTTTATTTGGCTTAACAACAAAATCAATAGACATTAATTAATTAAAAAATTTATTTTAAAATAATCAAATATATAATTTTGAGACAATCAAATAAATTTTGATTAATTAAAAATATATATTAAAAACGTGGAAGGTTAAAAAATAATAATAAATTACACCTTTTAATTAGCAGAATACAATTTTCCTTAGGTCAAATACAAATACAAATACAAATTCAACTAAGAATATACAATTTTCCTTAGCCCAAATACAAAGACAAACACAAATTCAATATATAAATCTATGTTTTGATTCATTCAATTAGCAGAAAGATTTCATATTTATTAAAATCGAGTTTGTAATACACACACACACATATATATAGAGAGAGAGAGGGGGGTGAATTACCTTCGATTGAAGCAGATCGAATTGACCAGGGCTTTGTGCGGTCGAGATTGATAGGCCATCGACTAGCAGTGAAGCTGCCATAGGCCAAGAAAATGGGCTAAACTCAGGAGCAGTGGGCAGGACTGGATGATGGGCCAAACAACAGACCCAGATAACAGATAAATTAAAGCTAAGTTAATTGGTACGGGATTAGCAAAAGAAGTTGCAGTTGTTGAGTGGGATTAATAGAAGTTGTTAGAGTTGTTGAGTGAAATTGTATAAAGAGTGAGAGAATGAGAGATGAGGGATATTATTTTGTAATGAAGTAGAGTGGGATCTAACATTTCCTAGAGCTGTATTTCTCAGTTTAAATCAATACCAATTTCCATTTCTCTCTCTATTTCAATCTCAATCTTTTCATTGATTTCCTATTTCCATCACTCACCCTATCATTGGTATCAGAGCTAGCAGTTCCTCAGCCGGAATTTATGATGACGGAGACTTGCGCGCAGGAACAGAAGAGGATGAAGGAAACCATTCGCCAGTTGCGTGAGAGCGATGAACGTTTGGTTCACCAACAGCATGAGAGTGAAGCACGAACGTAGCTTTCTCTCAACCAACTCAAGGAGATGATCATGGCCCTTACCCTTCGCGACGATCAAAAACAACGACCGACAGAAAATTTGGGCGAAGATTCCTTCACCCTCATAGATTTTCATTCCAGAACTTCGGCTCTGTTCAAACTCATTACGCCAAAATCGATTTTTCCCAATTCTCAGGTGATGATCCTACTGGTTGGATTTATAAGTGTGAGCGTTTCTTTGAATTTAACCAGATTGATGAAGGTAGTAAAGTAAAACTAACTGTGATGAATCTCACTAACAAGGTGATACAGTGGTACCAATGGTTCGAGCAAACCTAGAAAATGGCCACCTGGGCTAAATTCTCTCACGGACTTTAACTGCATTTCGGACCCAATGTTTTTGAGGACCCTATGGGGGAATTGACCAAGTTGAAGTAGCTCGTGTCTGTTAAACTGTACCAGGAGAGATTTGAAGAGTTAGCCAGCAGAACCAAAGGCTTAACAGAGAGTTCTTTGTCAGCTGTTTTGTTAGTAGGTTGAAAGATGAGATCAAAGCTGGAGTTCAAATGTTCCAACCTACCACCATTTCCCATGCCATAGGCTTGGCAAAGCTATAGGAAGAAAGCACTGAAGCCCTTAAATTCCCCAAAGATCATCCAACAACAATTGGTTTTTTCTTTCCCCAAACCTATCATTACCAAAACCCTTTTTCTCAAGTGGACGTAAACCTGATACAAAAAACCAGTAGCCACTAACTCCAAATACCAACCAACAATTTCTTCCAACTCAACCCTCACCAGTACCACTCCTTTTCCTATCAAAAGACTAACTCCCAAGGAAATGTAGGCCAGAAGAGAGAAAGGTCTTTACTATAACTGTATGAAATATATATCAGAGGACACAAGTGCCAACGGAAACAATTGTATTTGCTGCTTGAGGAAGACAAAGAACTAGATGCTCCAGAACCAGAACTACAAGAGGATGAAGACTCTCAGTTGAGTGATGAAATGCATATTTCAGTGCATGCTCTGTCAAGCAGCCTATCCTTTAGGACCATGAGAGTACTTGGAAAGGTCAATGGGAGGCCCATCACTATCTTAATAGATTCTAGCAGTACCCACAACTTTGTAGAGCCATGTGTGGCCAAGAGTTCTGGACAATCAGTAGAAACCACATAAATCTGCCAGTCACCGTGGCTGATGGGACCAAATTATGTAGCAAGGAACTGTGCAAGGCCTTCACATGGGAAATACAAGGCGCCACCTTCACCACAAAGGTGCGTATCCTGGCCATTGGAGGGTGTGACATGGTACTTGGGGTGCAATGGTTGTCCACTTTGGGATCAATACTTTGGGATTTTACAAACCTCCAAATGCAGTTCCAATTAGATGGATAGGCCATCCTTCTCAAGGGAGACACTGGCTGCAAAGTGGAACAAGTGTCAAGCAAGCAAGTGAGCAAGGCTTTGCAGTAAAGCAACAAAGAATACCTAGTCCAGTTGTACAGTATCACAGCTGCGCATATAAAACAGGTATCCATTGATATCACAGCCATTTTACATGACTTTAATGATGTTTTTGTGGAGCCCACTACCCTCCCTCTTCAACAAATGATTGACCACAGAATTCCCTTAAAACAAGGCAGTTAATTTGTCCATGCGAGGCCATATAGGTATCCATACATACAGAAGAATGAAATTGAAAAGATAGTCAAGGAGATGCTAGATGATGGTATCATTAGGCCAAGTACAAGTCCTTTTTCCTTCCCTGTGCTATTAGTGAAAAAGAAGGATCACACTTGGAGGATGTGTGTTGATTACAAAGAATTGAACAAGTTGACGATTAAGGATAAATTCCCCATCCCTATAATTGATGAATTATTGGATGAATTACATGGTGCCAAAGTGTTCACAAAGCTTGATTCAAGAGCTGGATACCATCAAATCAGAGTGAACCCTGCAGACATCTCCAAAACTGCTTTTAGAACTCACGAGGGCCATTATGAATTTTTGGTTATGCCTTTTGGGCTGACCAATGCACCCTCTACTTTTCAAAGCCTAATGAACTCAGTTTTTAAACCCTATCTCGGGAGGTTTGTACTGCTTTTCTTTGATGATATCTTAATATATAGTAAAACTTGGGTTGACCATCTTTACCACTTGCAAACCACTTTACAATTATTGAGGACCAACCAGCTCTATGTCAAGAAGTCTAAGTGTACCTTTGGACAATAATCTTTAGAGTATTTAGGGCATATCATTTCTGGACTGGGTGTGGCAGCAGACCCAGTCAAGATTGGAGCTATGTTGAACTAGCCCGGACCAACATCTATCAAGGCATTAAAGGGATTTTTGGGGTTAGCCAGTTATTACAGACGCTTTGTGAAAAATTATGGAAAAGTTTGTGCACCACTTACCACTTTATTGAAGAAGGACTCATTTTGATGGAATGAGCAAGCAAAAATTGCTTTCAACACTTTAAAAGCAGCTATGGCCTCCACACCTGTGTTGGTACTACCAAACTATGAGAAGGACTTTATTTTGGAATGTGATGTATCTGGCACACACATAGGGGCAATACTCATGCAAGATGGGCATCCTATAGCTTATATTAGCAAGGCATTGGCACCCAAACATTTGGGGCTATCAACCTATGAGAATGAGTTATTGGCAGCAGTATATGTTGTCCACAAGTGGGGACACTACTTGTTAGGAAGACATTTCACCATCAAAACTGATCATCTTAGTCTTAAGTACCTACTAGACCAAAAGATCTGCATTATAATGCAAGAAAAGTGGCTCACAAAGTTGCTTGGCTATGACTATGACATTGTGTTCAAGGCTGGGTATGAGAACAAAGTAGTAGATGCTTTATCCAGACAGGGCAGGGAACAAGGTTGCACCATTTCAACTCTCTCAGTTGTCCAAACTGAGTGGCTCAATTCTCTCAAACAGGAATGACATACTGACCCAACCCTCAAAACACTCATTGAGAGCTTAACCAATGATCGAATCGTACAACCAGGCTATTCTTGGACACATGGGCTATTGACCTACAAAGGAAGATTAGTAGTGGGATCAAATGTAGGAGATACATACTACCCCTTTGGGAGGACATTCGGGTACTAAAAAACTTATCACTGAGCAAGAAGATCTTTTTATTGGAGAGGTATGAAGAGGGACATATATGCCTTTGTGGCTCAATGTAATATTTGTTAAAGGAACAAAACTGAGACAATTGCTTCCCCAGGCCTACTGCAGCCATTGCCAATTCCAGAAGGCATTTGGTCTGATATATCCATAGACTTTGTGGAAGGGCTCCCCAA